TAGATGAAAAACTTTAAAGAGCAGTTCAGTTGGCCTTCAGCTACTCAACAACTACCCACCATCCAGACGGATTAACTCCAGAGATCTTTAAGGATGATTGTCTAGTCTTATCGATTAGGTTAACTAATATTTTAGCTAACATCTGGGAGTTGGACGTGATCCCATCTGACTGGTCGCAATTACTGGTCGTCCCAATATATAAGAAGGGGTCAAAAACATCCTGTGGTAACTAACGGGCGCCTAAGAAAGACTTGTGAACTACAAACACGAGAAAATCCGGTTGGCTTCAGACCTGATCCTGGCTGCATCGACCACATATTCACCATTGGTCAGGTTTTAGAACTCATGCATGCTTATCGGCGTTCGACGATGATAGTTTTTCTTGACTTAAAAACAGCATTTAACTCCGTAGACCACGAGATTCTCTGGCAGTGTGTGTCATTGAAAGGTGTACCTCAGAAGTACATAAACCTATTGAAGGCTCTTTACTCAAACACTAGCAGCAGAGTCAGAGCTTATGGCGAACTCATCTGATTTTGCGACCTCAAGTGGTGCCCGTCTGGCCGTCCACGTTCTCCATTTTTATTTAACTTCATCGTAGACATACTGATAACTCCGCCTGCAGTCCCTCCGAGGGCTACTACCGGTTCCAAGCCCGGATAAAGGAGGAGGGTTGGGCATGGGCTTAGCGAGCGCATCCAGTTGAAAACTAACTCGCTAAAAAACGTTAACCAGAAAAAATTATCCAAACCATTTAAACTCTTCCCTGGTGTCAGAAAGTTTTCATTTGGAAGAGTTATGACGCCTCATGATGAAAGCCGAGTTCCTTCGGAAGTCACGAGGCCGATGCCCCTTCTGACAACCAGAGCAACCATTTATTTAGGTTCATAGAATGCTCGTACAATGTGGGAGACTGGGAGAGTCTTCCAAATTGCTGCAGAAATGAAGAGATACAAGCTAGAGGTGCTTGAGATCAGTGAAACACATTGGACGAAAGTTGGACAACAACGACTAGCTTCAGGGGAGCTTCTGTTATACTCCTGCCATGATGAAGAAAATGCCCCACATACACAAGGAGTTGCATTGATGCTGTCCAAACAAGCACAAAATGCACTTATAGGATGGGAATCTCATGGACCAAGGATCATCAAAGCCTCCTTCAAAACAAAGAAAGAGGGCATTTCAATGAACGTCATCCAATGCTATGCGCCTACCAACGACTACAATGAAGACGCTAAAGATCAATTCTACAATAGGCTGCAGTCAATCGTCGAGAAGTGCCCAACAAAGGACCTGACCATTCTGATGGGAGATTTAAATGCCAAGGTTGGAATGGACAACACCGTATATGAAGACATCATGGGACGAAACGGACTGGGAGAGAGGAACCAAAATGGTGACAGATTTGCAAACCTATGTGCCTCCAATAAACTGGTCATAGGCGGAACTATATTCCCACATAAACGCATACACAAAACCACATGGATTGCACTGGATCACACTACATAGAACCAAATCGACCATATCTGCATCAACAAAAAGTTCAGGAGGACGATGGAAGACGTAAGAACCAAGAGAGAAGCTGATATAGCATCAGATCATCACTTGATGGTCGCCAATATGAAATTGAAACTCAAGGAATACTGGACAACAGGACGGACAATATCACAAAAGTTCAATACGGCCTTTCTTCGGGATACTGACAAACTCAACGAATTCAAGATAGTCCTTAGCAATAAGTTCCAGGCCTTTCATGATCTACTCAATGGAGAAGGAACTACTATGGAGAGCAACTGGAAGGGGATCAAAGAAGCAATCACTTCAGCATGCCATGAGGTTCCGGGCCACTAGAAGCGCCATCACAAAGAATGGATCACTGTTGATACACTGGATAAGATTCAAGAAAGCAGGAACAAGAAGGCAGCAATCAAAACAAGCCGAACAAGAGCACAGAAAGACAAGGCACAAGTTGAATACACAGAAGTTAACGAGAAAGTGAAGCGGAGCATTAGAATCAACAAACGTCAACATGTGGAAGATTTAGCAATGACGGCGGAGAAGGCTGTAAGAGAAGGAAACATGGAACAATTGTATGACACGACAAAGAAACTCTCTGGAAATCACCGTAAACCGGATCGACCAGTGAAAAGCAAGGAAGGCGAGGTAATCGCCAACATTGAAGAACAACGAAACTGGTGGATAGAACACTTCAAAGAACTCTTGAATCGACCAGCCCCACTGAACCCACCCACGGACCTCCCAATCAATGTTGGCGCACCAAAAATTAAAGAAATCAGCATGGCCATCAGACAAATCAAGAGTGACAAAGCAGCAGGACCAGACAACATTCCAGCAGAGGCACTGAAAGCAGACGTAGCGGCAACTGCAAGGATACTCCACATTCTCTTCAGCAGGATTTGGGATGAGGAACAAGTACCAACAGACTGGAAAGAAGGACTTCTGGTCAAAATACCGAAGAAAGGCGATCTCAGCAACTGTGATAACTACAGGGGCATCGCTCTTCTCTCAATACCGGGAAAAGTCTTCAACAAGGTATTGTTAAACAGAATGAAGGGCTCTGTAGACGCCCAACTTCGAGACCAACAGTCTGGATTCCGTAAGGATAGATCGTGTACAGACCAAATCGCAACTCTACGGATCATTGTGGAACAATCAATTGAATGGAATTCATCACTCTACATTAACTTCATTGACTACGAAAAAGCATTTGATAGCGTGGACAGAACAACACTATGGAAGCTTTTTCGATACTACGGCGTGTCGCAGAAGATAGTCAATATCATACGGAAATCCTATGATGGATTAAATTGCAAAATTGTGCATGGAGGACAGGTCACAGACTCGTTCGAAGTAAAGACCGATGTCAGGCAAGTTTGCTTACTCTCACCCTTTCTCTTTCTCCTGGTGGTCGACTGGATCATGAAGACGTCGATAGCTGGGGGAGCTTGGGATGCAGTGGACATCTAGGATGCAGCTGGACGATCTAGACTTCACAGATGATCTGGCCCTTCTATCGCACACGCAACAACAAATGCAGGAGAAGACGAAAAATGTGGCAACAGCCTCGGTAGCAGTATGTCTCAACATCCACAAGGGGAAAAGCAAGATTCTCCGATACAACACAGCATGCACCAATCCAATCACAATTGATGGAAAAGATTTGAAAGATGTAAAAACCTTTACATATTTGGACAGTATCATTGATGAACATGGTGCGTGTGATGCAAATGTGAAGGCGCGGATCGGTAAAGCAAGAGCAGCATATTTACAACTGAGGAACATGTGGAACTCAAAGCAACTGTCAACCAACACCAAGGTCAGGATTTTCAATACAAATGTCAAGACAGTTCTACTGTATGGGTCGGAAACCTGAAGAACTACGAAAGCCATCATTCCGAAGATACAAATGTTTATTAACAGATGTCTACGCAAAATACTTCGAATCCGTTGGCCAGACACTATCAGCAACAACCTACTGTGGGAGAGAAGAAATCAGATCTCAGTGGAGGAAGAAACCAGGAAGAAGCTCTGGAAGTGGATAGGAAACACATTGAGGAAAGCACTTAACTGCGTCACAAGACAAGCCGTCACATGGAATCATCAAGGCCAAAAGAGGAGAGGAAGACTAGAGAACACATTATGCCGAGAAATAGAGATAGACATGAGAAAAATGAACAAGAATTGGATGGAATTAGAAAGGAAGTTTCAGGACAGAGTGGATTGGAGAATGCTGGTCGGCGGCCTACGCTCCATTAGGAGTAACAGGCGTAAGTAAGTAAGTAATACATACTCGTAAGCTACTAGTATTTGATCACAAATGTCTTGGAGATATTTCCCACATCTGCTGGGATCACCGGATAAGTAATAGTGAGGTTAGACGCAGGGTATTAGGGAATGATGGTAAATCAGTTGATGGGGTTGTGAATCTTCATCGACTGAGATGGTTGAGCCACATGTTACGTGTGCTTGAACACCGATAACCACGACTCGCAATGCTGACTACTGTTGGGGATGCTTGGAAGGAAGTTAGGGGCGGTCAAACCAAAACGTGGCATCAGTCCATAAAGTCACTAACTTCTGATCTGAGCCGTGTTGGTGGATGTAGACTACTTTGTTGGGGTCCGCGTGACTATCGTAACCAATGGTTGGAGACCCTGTGTGACATGGCTCAGAATCGATCACAATGGCGTCGGTGTCTACATTCTCTAAATTCCCTTGAACTGTGAGATCGAAATAGCTTCATATGTCCCTTTCTATGAACTATTTCTTTCTTTCTATACTATATCCTTACATAAAACCATTCTTTTATATATCACACCATTGAGTTGACTGCTTTTATGAATCCGGTGTTCGTCTTGCTGTGCTAATGAGGTATGGCAACTTGGACCGATGCATATATGTGCCTGGTCCTACGTTGTAACTGACTGACTGAAATAGGTGAACCCAATAATGTGATATGGATGAGTGATGACTACACACAAAAACGAGATGTTTTTGCAAAACCATGGATGAACTGACATCGAAGAAATAACCTCTAGTCAGAATAGTAAGTTTTTTCTCTGATAAAATAACGTACTTATATACAAATTATCGGCAGAAAAAGAACATGATTCAATGTCATAAATGATCGTAGGATGTCAACTTTGAAGGTCAGTTGCTTACCCATGACATAAGATTTGATATCAATGGACAGATACTTGGTGTATTATTTGTTTCACAAGGAAACAGATATGACGTACATATTCACTGAAATAATGGAAATAAAGACATTTTAAACGTACTAAGGTCATATAAATTTGTGAAATTTACTAGGTACTAGATAATACAAATAAGGTAATCGTTTGCTCACAAAACATAAATGGACAGCAGTCACATACTACTGAAAAACATTGATGATATCTAAATAGAAACAGATTTCTGGTAATACAACCACGTTAAAATACCATACCAGCTTAAGGAAATTATATTGCAACACATACCTTAGAAACCCGTCATAGCTATCAGACGATCTGTAGAAAAGGAATGTATCTTCTAAGGGACAGGTGGGTGGAGCGACTACAATAACGACATTGAAACATACGACCAAACATAAAAGAAGAGTAAGCACAGTAGCAATTGGATGTAGTGATGCGATACCAAATAACACTGGAAGAAGCAATGGAAAGACAATGCGTGCTTGTCTATACCTTGGTCGATGTTTTGAAACAATTTTCGTCACCTGCATTGACATAGAAATACTGAAAAATACATTTCAAATGGAAAAATTTATGTAAAACATTGTGTCTGTTAATAATTATTTCTAAAACATACATGTGAGTAACAAATGGATCCCAAATTTAAGCCCACACCACGTTTTATAGTCAGGTAAAATCAGAAGTCGCCAAATACAAGTGATTCATACCATGACATTCTTTCGGAACAAAAGAGTAGATACTGCTGGCTATCGCAACTTCTTCGTGTGATGTACTGATAGTAATAATTTTGACTAAGATTTATTCCAGGGGGAAGTAAAACACAAAAGCTAAAACATTCGTAAATCAATAAGGATAAAAACCGAAAAAAACAATCCCGACCGAAGCTGCCACCTTGGCGCGGTGGTCGGGCTTGCCTATCGTGATGACCCAACCGAGCTATATTGGCTGGAACATATGTTCCAGTGGTTCTACCATGCCAGGCAGGTCGATTGGAGAACGGTAAGACTAAAAGCAGCAACTCAAGGTCTGAGGGCGAAGTCGAACTGCTGACTGTACAGAGGTGCGATAGCAGTAAGGTGTTTCCCTCAGACAACCAGCATCTGCAGAGATGCTGCCTTCCCACAAGGAGGGGTGGGGTTAGAAAAGGTCGACCCTAAAAATGTCACACCTCACCTTACCTCATGGATTTCCGTCTCCGGTGGTAGGGCCCTTTGAAGAACGGAGCTAACACATTAAAAACCTTCCACGAAAAGGCCGTGCGCGACCGGCTGACTGACTGACTCAAACAAACAATTTATAGCTTGAATTACATTCTACTGAGCACGAATGATGATAGGATATTTCAGATGCTGTTTCGCTAGCCTTTAATTTTATGAACTATGTATAATCTTAGCAATATTATTTGGTGAACAGTAACATGGGTTCAATAAAAGTTAAAACTGACTGGTGACCAGAAGCTAGTATTATTAGAGAAAAAGTGAATCCATGGTGCAGAATTTACGTAGATTCTGTGAACCCGATCAGTGGTATTAAATATCTGATCTCGAAATGACCAGAAATTTTCCCCGTGGTACCCCTAAAGCCCCCAAATGTTCTGGTACGACCGAAGATGGGAAGAGTTCGCTCCCTCTCTTGAAAGCTCTCACATGGTCACGCGTATACAGCCACTATCAGGGAAGTCTTACTCATTGTCTTCTGGCAGCGGGGGTGTTGTATAGGAAATTGAGAGGACGAAAAGCGAATGGCCGGCGCTTTAACTGCGTTGGTGGGTACGAAAGACCAACCTAGGGGAGTAAAAAAACCTGATTCCAAACCAATGGTGTATATGGGCTCCAGGATCATGAGGGAACAAATGGCGTATGAACCTTTTGTTGGTCACCGGCTACCATGTGACTACATCTCCCAATGTTGCTCCACTACCTTGTGGATTAGACCTTTAGAAAAAAAGGCTCGAGTGCGACCCCCTAAGAAAGCCATGTGCTCAAGTTTTGGCGCCTGGGCAGTATTCTAGCCCTCACACAAATCGAATGACAAAGCGTGGCTCATATATATTCGGTGCCTCCTTATACCAATATTTATGTGCTTCCCGATCGAAGTTGCTACCTTGACGCGGTGGTCGGGCTTGCCTATCGTGATGACCCAACCGAGCTATATTGGCTGGAACATATGTTCCTGTAGGTTCTACCATGCCAGGCAGGTCGATTGGTGAACGGTAAGACTAAAAGCAGCAACTCAAGGTCTGAGGGCGAAGTCGTACTGCTGACTGTAGAGAGGTGTGACAGCAGTAAGGTGTTTCCCTCGGACAACCAGCATGACAGCGATGCTGCCTTCCCACAAGGAGGGGTGGGGTTAGAAAAGGTCGACCCTAAAAATGTCACACCTCACCTTACCTCACGGATTTCCGTCTCCGGCGGTAAGGCCCTTTGAAGAACGGAGCTAACACGTCAAAAACCTTCCACAAAAAGGCCGTGCGCGACCGGCCTCAAGCAGTTGTCCCTTGGGCTCTGCGGTCACGCTCCCAGGTCGTCAAGACCAACACTAATCCAATTTCCTTTTCAGGTTCCTCAAGAAATACCCTTCCACGGTGTGGGCAGCCGGGAAGTGACATCAGCCCTCATACCCGTAACAGCACAAGAGACCAAGGTGGTCACATTCAAATCCTTCCTACACCTCCTAATACCTCTCTTATCTCCATGACTAACCCTCCTCACGTCTCTTTATCACCTCGCACCGCTAGGGCAAACGATTCGAGTACGTGGAACGCCATTCCTGGTCTCCTGAAACCACGCTCTAAACTACACGTAGGAGCTTTTAACGTACGAACACTTTGCCAAATAGGACAGCAGGCTTCCTTAGCTAAAACTTTAGAATCTCGCGCCATCGATGTGTGCTGCGTCTCCGAAACGCGCATACAGGATCCGAGTAGCGTCATTCATTTGACCTCACCATGCCAAAATAAAGAACCGACTCGATTTACGCTTCGTGTATCTGGAAGCCCTGATTCTGCTTCCCGTGGCCTCGCCGGCGTAGGTATAGCATTGAGTCCTAGGGCAGAACTAGCTCTCTTAGAGTGGATCCCAGTAGACAGTCGTTTGTGCGCTGTCCGACTGAACGGAACAGTAAGAATCCGGAAAGATAGGGACACTCGTCGTTGCCTCTTCGTCGTCTCTGCCTATTCTCCCACTGACTGCAGCTCAGATGATGTAAAAGATGAGTTTTACAGAAAGCTTTCGGACCTTCTCCGAAAAGCTAAGCGCTCGGATGTAGTAATAGTGGCCGGTGACTTTAATGCTCAAGTAGGTAAACTAAGCGATAGGGAAAGACACCTAGGTGGATCTTATGGTGTCGTGGCTCAAAGAACAGATAATGGCGACCGTCTGTTGCAGCTATGCTCAGATAACCGCCTGTTCCTTGCAAATACTAACTTTAAGCATAAGGAAAAACATCTTTTAACATGGCGACCCCCTAATTCGTCCCAACGTTGGACCCAAATAGATCACATCGCTATCAGCCACCGATGGAGGGGCTCGATAGAAGACTGTCGCTCATTCTGGAGCACATGCCTAGATTCAGATCATGCTCTAGTGCGAGCGCGTATTTGCTTGCGTCTTACTGGACGTAGGAAAGACGCTGCAAGGAAACCTCTTAGGGCCTACTTAATGATAGTCAAGCTAAGAGTATATTTCAGGAACAACTAGGAAAACAGTTAGGCAGCCATGTATGTGATGCCCACCCCGATGCAGCATGGAATGATATCCGAAAAGCTGTGGAAACAGCAGTGATATCTGCTAGTAAGGTAAACCAGAAGGTTAGGGAGCAACACTGGATCTCAGCAGCATCTATCGCACTGATAGATGCTCGGAAACTCATTCCACCTGGCTCTGAACATAATGAAGAGCGGAGTCAGCTTAAGCGCAAGCTGACAAGAAGTCTACGCAATGATCGCGAACAGTGGTGGGTAGCGAAAGCAAGAGAGATGGAAAAGGCAGCGGCAATAGGTAATAGCAGACAATTGTTCAGACTCGTTAAGGAAACCGGAATTAGGAACCCGACCGTTAGCGAAACAATCTCAGAGAAAGATGGACATATTATTCATTCTCAATCCAGGAGATTGGATCGATGGGCAGAACACTTTAGGGATCAGTTCAACTGGCCTTCAGCCACACTTCGGTTTCCCACGATCTCTAGTCAACCTGAATGGCAAGTTAATGTAGGTCCTCCGTCCCTTTACGAAGTTGAAAAAGCCATAGGAAATCTGAAACGAGGGAGAGCAGCAGGCCCTGACAGGTTTACTCCTGAGATTTTTAAGGATGGTGGTCCAGTATTAGCAATGAGATTAACTGAGGTCTTAGGTAGAATTTGGGAACTGGACGTAATCCCATCTGACTGGTCTCAATCACTGATTGTGCCAGTCTATAAGAAAGGACAAAAGTCCTCTTGTGACAATCACAGAGGAATCAGTTTGACTAATATAGTGTCTAAAATATTAGCTTCAATAATACTTCGACGCCTAATCAAAGCTCGTGAAGAGCAGATTAGAGAAAACCAGGCCGGTTTTCGACCTGGACGTGGTTGTATAGATCAGATATTCACACTACGTCAGGTTCTAGAACACAGACACACATTCAGACGCCCCACAATGGTAGTATTTCTCGACCTTAAGGCGGCATTCGACTCTGTTGATCGTGAGGTTCTATGGCAGTGTTTGTCACTGAAAGGAGTACCAAAGAAGTACATTAACCTTATAAAGGCTCTCTACTCGAACACAACTGGTAGAGTGAGAGCTTATGGCGAACTGTCATCAGAATTGATTACCTCAAGTGGTGTTCGTCAGGGCTGTCCACTCTCCCCATTCTTGTTCAACTTTGTGGTCGACGTACTTTTAGAGATAACACTCTCCTCATCTAAATTTCCAGGGGTTGAACTTCTACCGGGAGGTTCACTTGTTGACTTAGAATATGCTGATGACATAGTTTTATTTGGTGAAGACGCTGACAAAATGCAGAGTCTTCTGACCACTCTAAGCAACAATGCAAGCATGTTCGGGATGCGATTCTCTCCCTCGAAATGCAAAATGTTGCTTCAGGATTGGGTTACATCGACACCCGAACTAGTGATAGGGAGTGAAGTAGTTGAGTGTGTCGACCGCTTCACTTATCTTGGAAGTCTCATCAGCCCTTGTGGTTTAGTGTGTGACGAAATCTCAGCACGGATACAGAAGGCTCGACTAGCTTTTGCCAACTTGCGTCATTTATGGCGTAGGCGAGATATCCGTCTATCAACCAAAGGACGTGTTTACTGCGCAGCAGTTCGTTCCGTCCTACTTTATGGCAGTGAAACATGGCCGGTAAGAGTAGAGGATATTCGTAGGTTACTAGTATTTGATCATAGGTGTCTTCGAAATATTGCTCGTATATCATGGGACCATCGAGTAAGTAACACAGTTGTTAGGAAACGGGTACTAGGTAAGGATGGCAAATCAATTGATGAAGTAGTGAAACTTCATCAGTTGAGATGGCTGGGACACGTGTTACGTATGCCCA